CTTTTAAAAATGCATGAGGCTGCACTGAGGTGGGCGTGGCACTCCCCATAAATGAGACAGAGCTGGTGGAGGCAGGGGCGGATCCAGAGATATATTAAAGAGAGTGTCATGGAGACTTTAACCTCTTAGACCCTGCTGGATCATACGATTGATCCACGGCTGTAGGTTGTGTAGACAAACACCGTGCGAACCCACAGAAAACCGTTTAAAATTCTAAACAAGATCTAAACGTTTCAGAAATATCAAATATAGTTTGAACTGTGGGGGAAATGTAAGAAATGATGCAAAATACATATAATTTTCCGTTAAATGTTGGAACAAGCACATACAGAATAAAAATGTAATATTACAGTTTTCTAAATACATTATTTTCACTAAACTTAGGTGACTTTAGGTGACAATGAAACCATATTAGCTTATTGTTGCTGTTAATGTTGCTGTGTTTACATTCCCCAGACACAAATTCAAAAGAAGCACTGTAGAATTATTTCCAGTGTATAAGTATATAAATAACTATATATATATAATGATTTATTCATATATCCTTTGTTATTCTATGAATTGTTTCTATGTGTGTAGCATGAAGGAACTACAAACTTACAGCCCTGTGTTACATAATGATGAATACATTTCCTTGATTCCTTGATAATGTGGCCACATAATTAAATAAAAGGTGTTAATTTCCTTTTTTTTCCTTTTTAAAGGCTTTTAAAGGTTAAATTGTTTTTTTTAAATAAAATTAATCTAAATTAATGTGTTAAATTTGGCAGCAGTTGGGTTTATGGGTGGCAGCTGCCAACCGATGGCGCCCGTCTACATCCGCCCCTGGGTGGAGGGACGGAGGGACAGATCCACAGGGATTATTCTTAGATATCATTTGTCATCCTCGTCGCCACCGAAAGAGGAAGCCTGTTTGACAACGTTGGCCGGTATCGATTCTGGAAAGAGCCGAGATGAGCCTCAGCTTCATTCGTGCCCCTTCGATCCATTGATTCATCATCTGAGACAGATTTTGATGGGAGCAGGCGAGATAAAGACGGGTGAGAGAAAGAGCACAAGAGATGGATGGCGAGCAGGAAACAGGGAGATGGGCGGTGAGAGAGGAAGAAGGCAGGATGAGAGAGTCATGTATGTGAAGGAGAAAGCTCTGCTGGCAGCCGGCCAGAGTGCTGGGAGTGTAGAGTTACAGGAAGGTCCATGTTAGAAGCACACAACTGCAGATGTAAAATAACACCTTTTCTACTGCATCGAGAAAGTGCAAAGAGACTGTTTAAAGGGTCAGTTAAATCACAGTGTGATTGTGCGGAGGTGTGTTTATTCAGAAAATAACTTTTTATTTCTCACTACCACTGCTCCCTCTCTTCATTCACTCTCTATCTCGCTCTACCACCTCTGCTCTCTCTTTCTCATCCACCAACGTCGGGTTGTGTTTCTCTAAAAGTTGATTCCTTTTCAACATTTTGTAGCAGGTTTGCTGTGTTTTGTTTCGGCATCCCACATTCAAACAAATGGGAGTAGATGTGTGAATACAGCCTAAATTTTAGTGGCATCTCACCCTGCAGATAGTTTAAAGAACCAGTGTGTAGGATTTAGTGGTATCTAGAAATTCAGTTGGATATTGCAACCAACTGAATACAGCTCACCTCCAATAGCATGGAGTAGAAACTGGGAGAAAAATGCAAAAAACTGCAGATGTAGCTGCAGTTAGGGGCTCAGCAGCCTCCCAGTGAACACAACCTCTGAGACAGACAGAGGACAGTTGGACGACAGCGGTACTGAAGTGATTTATGGAGTTTCCTGATGGACTTGTTGAACTACAGTATAATAATTTTAAGAATTATGCATGGCTCATATTCTTTTAAATGAGCATTTTAAAATGAATGATCACATATCCCCTTACAGTACTCCAAACTACCCCTAGGGGCATGTGTACCCCCATTTGAGAGACACTGAAACATGTCAGAGCTGGTGATAAAGTTGCAGATTAAAAGTTTAAAAAAAGAAAAGAAAATAAGCTGTGTGGCCTTCGAGGAGAGCTACAATGTTAACAGTTTTTACACCCTGTGAAAAAACTGGTCACTTTTTAGACAAAACATGTCGGGATAAAAACTGAACGGGAGTGCTGAAGGACAAAATGTAAACTTAAGCTTCACCTCTCGACATACCTCGGTAAAATTTTTTTAAAAAGCCACAGCTGCTCAGTGTTGATGACTCATCCTCCTGTTGTCCTAATGGGTCACAATGCTCACAGAAGGACACACACACACACACACACAGATGGATCAACTCCTTGGCTGAGGGTTTATGCGTCAAATCACACAGGTAATTAAACCCCAAACAGCATGTGCAGCTCTAATATTAGCTCCCTGGATACGATGGGGGTGAGGCGGGGGCTCATGCTAATATTAGCTCTCAGTTTGCTTGTTGCTGGCGTGGTGCACTTGCAGCTATGATTTCAGCAACATGACAGGTAGTAACACATTAAAGCCTCGAGAGATTAGAAAGGTTTGAATGAAATAGGAAGCAGATATTCAGGCACAATCACAGCGCAGCCCCCCAACCCCCCCGATCATCCACTCACACTGATCAAAGCGGTATTGATTCCTCTACATGTAATATTAGGTTACATCATACTGTATTTGGCACAGCTGCCTACTAGTGCAAATTCCCAAGAAATGGCTGAGGGCTCACTGTCACACCCAGAATACACCGCTCAAGCTCGATGAACTTCCACAGCTCTGCATCGTAATTAACCGAGAGGCAGCTAAAGAGGATGAACTGGAATTAAAGCGGCGAGTGTCAGCACTGTCTAAAAAACATGACTTTGTTTGCATTTGATACAAGGCTGCCTTCAGCTTCTCCTTTTCTGCCTTCAAAGACACAGTCAGACAAAAGAGATGGGTCCTCTGACTCATGCAGAGGCACAAAAAAGTGTGTATATACGTGTGTGTGAGTGTGAGAAGAAAGATGCAGAGAGGTTTATTGGGGGAGAGAAGAAGGGAGAGGCATTCAATCAGCAGCACATTGGCCATGACCTCGCTGCCTCCTCCACTAACTACCTTACATGCCCACGGGATTCTTCAGTCGAGACGCTGCATTAACGTACAATAAACAACCTGAAACTTTAACAGCAGAATAAACTGTATTATCCATAGAAATCTCTGATATTCAAACCAACAAGCTCAGCTGCTCGTCAAACTCGTCATATCTTACGTACGTGCTTATTCAACGTGTTGTTTCTGATGTGTCATACTGTAGGTGTTCATCCGGTCTGTCCACCTGTCATTGCTTTCTCCGTGCACAGGGTTTGTTATTACCTCCAAAGGTTTATAGTTGCTGCTCTGCGTGCACAAGATGACACGGAAATAAGAAGACGCTGGATTTTCAGGCAAAAAGCCTCCAGGCAGCATAAAAAAACCAGTATAAATTATTTAAATTAATTAAATAAGATGCAGCCTGAGTCTCACTACTGGACGCTGTGTCCCTTTTTTTTCTTCCCGGGAGTCTATTTTTAGCTGGTTTTGGGCTATTTAAAGGACCAGTGTGTAGGATTTAGCAGCATCCAGTGGGAAAGTTGCAGATTGCAACTAACTGAACACTGCTCGCGCCTGTATTTGAAGACCTGGGAATGAGAAGAGGATGTTAAGTGTGTCAGATAAACTATGGTGGCTGCGAACTTTGCAAAAAACGTGAAAGGCCCTAATATTGAGCTCATTTTAACCAGTAACAACAATGGTTTACATAATATCCCAGCAGAGGAACATTATTTTATTATTATTTTAAGAGTAAGACCACTTGTACAACTTCTCAGTTTAAGAGAAAGTCGTCTTGTCCCAGTGTTGAAATGAAGCAGCTGTTTAGTTGTTGTGAATGTTTCTGGAGCCTTCATTTAAGATAAAGTCACAGATTTATTTACACAACACAAGAAATTTTGATTATATTTAAGAATACTTGGTTGGTTCCTAGAAAGGCTGTTTTTTTGCAGTGTATAATGTGAATAAATAAACTACTTTATGTTATTTTATATGCCAGTTGTGTTTAGCAGCTCCTCTAAACTCATTGGGATTCATCGTCAAGAAACCACAGATGTCTGAACAACATTTCATGGCACAACAGTTGTAGAGATAGTTCAGTCCAGACCAAAGTGGTGGACAGACAGACAGACTCATTGCCATCTCTAGAGCCGTGCTGCTAATGGTTAAATGAACTGTTTAATACCCTGTTGTGTTGTGTGGCTCGCAACCATAACGAACAGCCTCAATATTTGACAGAAATGAGACAATCAACTATCTTTGGCCCCACCTTTACGACCTTTACGTCTCTGAGCTGCCATCTGTATGATTAAAAAAGAGGCTCACTGAGATATGACAAACACAGGAAAACCCTAAATCAACCATTTTCCTGTAATATGATGTAACGATTCCCAACCAGCAATGTCTTTATAGTCTCACAGAAAGTGACAGAAACAGAAACAGAAACTACTTTTTCCCAGTGGGTGACCTCGCTCGCCCTATTATCTCCACTGTGGGGTCATGTTCTGCTGAACGGGTTAATGTGTAAGACTTTAGAGAGGACAGTGGCACAGTGACACTGATGCAGACAAAATAGCTCTTATTCTGTCTTCCAACGCCACACCGGAGAGATAAAGCCAAAGATAACTTTGACACAAAAAAACAAGATGACTAACTTTTTATCTTAGAGTTCAAGCGGAGAATTAGTCAACCATGTTATCCAATCCTGCCAAAAGACTCCTCTAATGGGGCTCCAAACTGGTGGCTATCGACAAAATAGGGTTGTAACTAATGACTGTTTCTTCCCTTTGATGAGTGACCCTTCAGCGCACCAAACACAGCTCAGAGAAAAATCATCTGTCCGCTCTAATGCTTCGGCTGTGGCGCGCCTACAGTACATTAATGTCACCATCTACACTTTCAGGATGGTCAAAAGATGTGCCTGCTGATTTATGGCAGTGATACTCAGCGTCCTCATCGTGTGGTTTTTATTTCCAAAGCCTAAAATAAATTTGGTTAAATGTCAAAAAGGGGGTCAAGCTGTGAGGAAGAGCTTGCAGTCAACATCAGTACCATCAATAAGGACACCTGCATCTGCCTAAAGGTAACGCTGTCATGATACAATATAATAATTTTAACCCAAAAGAATTATTGAAACTGATCACATTGAACATTTTAAGCAGCACAAACTCAATTTTGTGAGTTACAGAAACTTTCCTGATTAAGTACTTTTTAGAGATTTTGTTTCACAAATAAAAATTACAAAATAAAGTTAGTGTCACTTAAAAATACTGAAGCTGCTTGATCAAGAATGTTTTTATAACTTACAAAATAAAGTTAGTTTTACATGAAATGTTCAATGTAATTGGTTTCAACAATTTTGAGTTAAATTAACTTATCTGGTTTTACAGTGACTGTGATGAGATCAGTTATTCTAACTAAAAAAACTTTTGAACTTACTGCATTGACTATTTCTCTCCTCAAATCTGTTCACAAACATATTTTACTGTTTATCTGGAATAAACTCGAGGCTTCAAAACGGTTCTCCACAAACCGATGGGTGATGTCACACTTGACACTTCCAACCTGAAGCGTCTTTCTCGGCTCTGATCGTTCAGGTCCGGTGGATTCTTGTAAATCCCATCAAGACCACCAGGAGGAGCCAGAGGAAGCTGAGCTTTTCAGATTATCTGTCTCATGTTCTACTGTCAGGATTTAGTGAAGGTTTTAGCAAATATGACAAAAAGTTTTTTTTGATAAGTTACCTACTGCAGCTTTAAAGTTTGTTGTCATTTGAACCAGATACATTTCCAGACTGATCACATCACAATATATTTACTGAAATTCAATAACAACTATTAGCCAGCAGCAGCTCATTATTGGCATAGATAACAGTGTGGTATTGCATGTACTGACATGCTCACATGCATTCATTATACAGAAATATGCAGTCCTTCATTTCACACACCCTCACACATGTTCTCATTCATGCCTTCACACTCACTATCTCACCCACCCACACAAACACACACAATATACCGAAGAGAGTCCCACTTCTTTCTGCCCATTAGTCATCGGTTCATAAGTCTCAGTGTGACACGCACATGTGGATCATCTGTATCGTCGTGCAAAACCTGCCAGCTACCTCAGCGGCTGTTTATCAGGATCGACCCCAGGCTGTCAGCACAAGCCAGAGACACCAGCAGCTACATTTGTACTATAGACACACCAACACATACACAAAATCTTTCATCTCCTCCTCTCATCTCAATCTCACACTCACCTCTCCTCCTCTCACAGCCGCTTCATCCATACAGGATTTACACCTCCCACATGGTTTATCTTGTCTCATCCTCTCTGTTATTCCTTCTTCCTTCCCTCTCATCTTCCCTCCTTCTCTGAGGCAGAGCAGTGCAGACCTGTCCGACCAGCACAGCCTGCCTTCTCCCTCCCTCTCTCCCTCCCCGGCAGCAATGCTCACACTCAGCCAACCTAGCCCTGCCCCCTTCCCGTCCCTCTGCCTTTCACATGCATGCTGAGTCAGTGAGTAGTTAGTAGGGGTATATGGGGAGGCGCTGCATGGAGGGAACGTGCATGACAAGGAGGCATGGAGTGTTTAAAGGCCCCCGGGACACTAGGATCGCCTCCATGTGGGACACGGTTCAAAATAAAAATAAATAAATAAGTGGCAGATGTGAGTGGATGAAAACTGGACATGTGGTCTGATCTGCAGGGCGGGAATATCTCAAGCATGTGTGAACCCCTCCTCCCAAACACCTCAGCGGTTAATGAAAAGATGGGAAATTAAGACGTCCAGCTGGTCACTACATTTGAAACTACCATAATAACTACCATGTGAGTTTATGTAGAACAGCAATTCATGTGATTTATTTACATATAAAAATGTGGGTTTTTGGGTGTTTTTACATGTGATAAATTCACCTGATGAACAGAGTTTTAACATGCAAAATCACCCATTTCACACATAATACCAGAGATGAAACAGCATTTTTTGACAGTGATGTGTAATATTTTCTGTGCATTGTTGTAGAGGATGGAATAATAGAGAATAAAGAGAACAATTTAAAATCACAACTATTTTACTTTACAAATCATGCTCAGAAATATCAGGAAGAATTACTATGTTAAAGGTTTTGTTTCCAGTTTGAGTGACTGAATATAAAGGCAGGCACACAGATAAAGATACAACCAAATTTGTTTAGTTTTTATTTTGTTAGTTTTACCTTTAAATTTTTTTATTATTGCTGTTCTGCTCAGTACTGCTAGTAATACAAAATCTAGACTTTATAACCTTTTATATTGTAGGAAATAGTAAAAAGAAGTCTCAATCTAAGTAATCTTCTGTACATCTGTATTAATGTCTTTTAAAACTCATGTTTGTTGATGCCATATTTTGATGTCTTGTAGTGATTTTAATGCTAAATGCCAAATTTCCATATTCTGGACAATAAAGTAAAAACTAAAAACTTCTGACAGAACTACATTGTGGGCCAAAAGTATATGGACACATACAATAACAGTACTTTGTGTACTTTTGTTCTGGGGTTGTTTTTCATGGTTTGGCCGCGGCCCCTCAGCTCCAATTAAGGGAGATCTTAATCCAACAGCACACAATGATATTTGAACAATAATCAGTTCCCTCCAGGATTTTGTAGGTTTATTTTGGGATTGTTCTGGTCTATTAAATGTCTGATTTCATGGCAGCTTTTCTAACAACTTGCGACGCATGTTTGGATGTTTTTTAAGCAGGTTTTTTGTGGAAAAAATTATAGCAGCAATTTATGAGTTTGTGATGACATTCAACAATCACCCGTGGCTGTAAAGTTCAGGCGTCCACAAACATTCGACCATGTTGTGTAACATCTATATTTGGTATGTATAGCAATGTGCTGCTTCAAGTTATTTTGTGCCAGTTTTTGAATAATTAAATAGCGCATAAAGAGTAACACCATGATAGTTCCTCTTAATGCTGTTGGAGCAGATCCATCACAGGACAACTCTATATGACGAATATTAAATAAAAAAAGTTCCTCAAGGAAGACAAAGACACTGAGTGACATATGTGAGCTTGGATTTATCAAAAACCTTTTATAGGGTCTGGAAACATCAGAGAGAAAAGAGCAGGAAAAAAGCTCGCTCTCACTCCACTGAAATATTAAAGAGACCCATGGAAGCCTCGAATGGACAAAAACATTCTTATTTTATCTTCATACGAACATGTTGACTCAACATCCACAGTCAGGTTTTAACTACCTCCGATCCTTGATTTATTGAAGGTTTTTACACTCAATGTTGTGTTTATGACCAAATCCAACCAAAAGTTATGGTTGAAGCTGCACTAAGTGTACAAGTACACCGCTGTTATTGTCTTAAATCACAAAATGGGGCAACAAAAAGGTCATTTTGAGCCTCCCATCCCCACTCAGTGAGACTATACAGAGTAAAATGTTTCCCTTTAGAGAGTCCACACTGGCTGAAGGTATTTTTTGACTTTGGTAAAGTCCTTCAAAGGTCCAGAAATATAAACCATGATTTGCTCCTGTCACTTTAGGCGTTGTGCGGCTGACGAAAGGTCAATTGGGATGTCAAAAATGCAGTTTACAGTGATAATAGTCGCAGGTTTACCACAAAATCTAAAGTAATTTTAACATTGTAACAGTGTGTCCTTGATTTCAGACCAATATAAACATCAGCAGCTCCTAATTTTTAGCTGATTTTGTCGGCTAAAATTAACAATCACTGGATTTTTATCAGACGTGGCGAGCTTCCATGAAAGCCCACATGAAATGTCAATCAGAGAGCTGTTTGCTTCCGCATATTTACTTATTTCCTGTAAAAACAGGCAGCTAGAGAGGGACTTGTTACATCCCCCTAGTCAAGCAGCTGGAGCGGACCCATTAGCTGACTCTGTTGGACTGAGAGCTCCCAGTAAACAGCACCACCAGACCGGGACTGAATGCAGCATCTGATGCAGACTGAGGACAGGAAATAAAGTACAGAGGCGTTTGATTGCTGGTTTTGGCTCCTGGCACCCCAGGGCTAAGTTGAGCTAACTAGCTAACGACATCTAACATTACTGTTAGCGACAGTTAGATTCTTTTAGCAACAAGTCCATC